CTAAGTTTCTAAGATATTATCTTTGTGCTCTTGAAAGACAAATATTCAAACTCTTGAGTCCTAGTTTAATGAGCCATACAGTAAAGCTGGGCAATGTAGTTCAATACTGGAGTTTTTGTCTAGCATGTTAAAGGGCCTGGGTCCAATCCATATTACCTCAAAAAAAAAATTAAGGAATTAAGGAATAAAATGGGGATGAAGAGATGAGATGGTTCAGTGGTTAAGCAAACTAGCTCTTCTTGCAGAAGACCAGGTCCCGGGTTCACATCTCAGCACTCACATGGCAGCTAACAATCATCCATAACTCCAATTACAGGTGATCTGACATGACACTCTCCTCTGCTCTCACCAGATGCTGCATGACACATGCGTACTTACATATAAGCAGGTAGTAAACTCATCTACATAAAATAATAAATATTTTTTAAAATTAAGGAGTAAATGCCACACATGAATAAACTATGGAAGATAATAAAAAGTAGAGATGGAATGTTTACTATGTCATTCTAAAATTGATGAGGGACATATGATTGAAATAATTAAAATTACAGAGAAAATGGATATTGTCAACTCAGACATTTGTCTCATTCTAGAAAATGTTAAGGATTCCTTCAGCTGCTTCAGTCTGTCACTAATAAGATTGACGATTGTCTACACAATTGTGTCCACTAGTTATTTTTCTAAGAATCAGGAATGTGCCTGCTGCCTACTTCATTGCTCCCGTGAAAAATGAGTCTCATTTTGCTGGTGTCCCATGCTTGTTCATTACTTTAAACACTGTTAAAGTGCTGCTAGAGACAATAATGATCACAAAAGTCCTGATTAATATAATTTTCAGTGCTGGTAGATTATGAAGGGTTCTAGTATGCTATGCATGAAATTTGTTTCCTTAGTCTTAGAAAAATTCATTGTTCATTTTGAATAAAGTTCCCGTGTGAAGCATAATTTGTCTCAAAATACCACATAGCAACTTGTGTCTCATAAGCAGGTCTGTAATACTCAATTGAGAAATAAATTATGAAAAATGTAAAGAACTTCATGTGGTGGATCTCTAATTGCAAACTTCCCATGTTAATATAAATGAAAACAAAATGATTTTGAGGCAGTAATGAAAGAGACAGTGAAAGTGGGAAGTTGGTTCGGGTGTCTTAGTACTGTTAATTAAGGAGACTTATAAACGGCTTTCACTGAACCCAGTGTGTTTCAGCTACTGACGTTTATATCACATAGGTGTTTTTTTCCTTAAAAAGCTTGTTTTCAGAACCAGAGAGATGACATAGTGGTAAACAGTTCTTGCTGTTCTTGGAGAAGTCCTGGGTTTAATTCCATTGCTCACATCATGGATCAAACAACTGCCTGCAATTCCAAGTCTGGGGTATTCAACACATTCTTTGCAAATGGCAAACAAATACTTAAAAAAATGTTCAACATCCTTAGCTGTAAGGGAAATGCGCATTAAAAGTTTTGAGATTTCATCTTCCTTCAGTCAGAAAGGCTGAGATCCAAATAAACGAGAACCAGTGCTGGTGAGGCTATCTGGAAAGGGGACCTTGTGTCCACTTCTGATGGGATTCCAAACTCCTTCAACGACTTTGGGAATCAGTGTGGAGTTTCCTCAAAACACTGGAAACTGATCTACCACATGACACATTCATACCAACCTTCAACTTTTACCAAAAAGGCTCTGTATCGTACTACAGAGATACCTGCTCATTCAAGTTCATTGCTGTCCTTTTCACAATAAAGCAGGAAGTGGAAACAACCAAGATGTTCACAAACTGACAAACGGATAACAAAAGTATGGTACATTTAATCACACAATGGCATATTACTCAGGGATCAAAAAACCCTGAATTAGGAAATTCAGATGTGAATGGATGAAACTGGAAACAGTCATCTTGAGAGAGATAACCTTGACTAAGAAAGACAAATGTCACATGTTCTCTCATAACTGAATGATAGCTTTTAATTCTTTGATATACTTGTTTCAATAGTAAAATCCAGAGAGGTCACATAGCAAATAAACTGCCAGGGGCTTGGAGGCAGTGCTTCATATGAGGAAAGATAGAATGCAAAGATATAAATTAAAAAACGGGGCCTGATAGAGTATGAAACGTTAAAAGAGGTGGAAGAGAGGTATGGCGAGGGATAGCCCTAAATGCCTTTAGAAAATGCCATATCAGGAACTGGAGGGATGGCTCAGGTGTTGGGATCACTGACTGGTCTTGCAGAGGACCTTGGTTCAATTCCTAGCATCCACAGGGTGGATAACAACTATCTATAGCATCAGTTCCATTGGCTCTGACACCTCCTATGAATTTTCCAGGCATTGCGTGACATGGATGCACTTATATACGTGTAGGCAATACATTCATACACATACAACTAAAATTAATAAAGAAAATATTTTTAAAAAGAGAAAAACCCATAAAGAAATTGACTATTATAGACATTTCTTAAAGTATAAGGGTGCACGTTATTTTTATTTCAAGTACGAATTCCAAGTCAAGAGGACATATGATTTTAAGTTTGATGGATTATAAATTTTATATTTTCTCAAAAATAGCAAGTATTCCCAAATTGTTTTCAATAACTTTCTCACTGTTCTTTCAAAATTGATTCACATAGCTCCACTTATACCACTATCATTTCTTATGGCAGAGCTTGAATTATGGTTTTGTAGTATATTTTACTACCTATTCGAGGATATCTGTTACTGTCTCTTCTCCAAATGATCTTGTATATTAGCTTGTTTTTATAAGTTGGGGATCTCTAGTAATAAAATAGTTCTATCTCTACCATTTTATTCTAATTGTTTATATAATATTTGACTGTGTTTGTTTTACTTTGCTAATTGATATCTTACTACATCTTTCTACATTTTGTGTTTTTAAAATAATTTTTCAGACTAGTTCTTCTGTAATTCAGGCTGGTCTTAAGCTCACTGTGTGACTAAGGCTGGCATTGAACTCCTGATTGCCCTGCTTCATCCTTCTAAATGCCTGGATTACAGGTTCGTGGCTTCCATATTTACTATTATTAAAGAAAGAATGCCATTACTTAAATTGCTGAATTAAGCAGAAATGAAGAACAATCTCAACTCGAGGTCTCTGATAAAATTAGCATTATAGTGCGTTTAATTTTAAAATTAATGTTTATAATGATTAATCATGCAATTCTAGACTATTAAAGGACTTTTTGATCTGGCCATGAGGGCACATGTTCATAAAGCCAGCACTCAGGAAACCAAGCCAGTAGAATCCGCAGTTTAAGACTTTGCACACCCTCCACCAAGAGTAGTAAATTCATTTGTATTTGCTTACTTCAAAAATGTAAGAATCATGGTAGCATAAAAATAAAGGCTTGATATAAGAAAAGGGTAAGTGACACAGCAAAAGTACACATGATAGGGATACTCTTTGGTTCTATTTTGAAGAAATCAAGAGTAAAAGACAACTTTGAAATAATTAGAAAAATCTCTGTGTCTATAATAGAATTATTTAAAGCATACTAATTTATTTAAATCTATTAGGAATACTGATGCATCTGAAGTAGAATTAATGCTTAGATATTCCATTATAAAACAAATAAAAAACTACCAAAGAACTCTAGAGAGTGTGAATAGAAAATTACAATCTGTGTTTTTCTAGAAAAAGGTAAGCTAAAAATGATGATTGAAAATTCTGAATGATTACTGAAGTTATATGAGGAGTCTATGGATTTAATTATAATGATATTTCTCTATTTATACATTTGAATTTTTTCCTGCTTCTTTTATATTTGAATTTGTATTGGTGGTGCATTTATACATGCATACAATGTGTTTTATTAACAAATTGAATAAGACTGATAGTATTTTGCATTCAGATATTTTTGGGGTACCTTTTAATGTTTTGCTCCACTAAGAATGAAATCTAAAATACATTTCATAAGTATGGATTTTAAAGAACAGATATTTGCATCATCAATTTTAAAATTGAAAAAAAAATAACATAATCAAGTAGCTAGCAAAGAAAAATTCATTTCTTCTACATATTAAAATATAGTAAGTAAATTAGGTTTTTTACAGCACAGATTGCATTCCCCTATATTATTTGCAGAATTAAATGATACCATGCACTATCCATCACAAGCAAAGGAAGCATGTTTTCTCAGGTGTCAGGGAGGTGATACATAATTGCTTTTGGATAATATTTTGTCACTGAAGGACAAGATTTATCAGATTCATCAGACATAATTACATATATGTAAGACATGCAGTGTAAACAATGAACTTTGCTTTGTGACTGTTATAGAAAATTTCAATATTTATATATAAAATATACCTTATCCATTAGTATAAACCTGATCAATTGCATATATATATATATACTAACATAAACTTTATTATTGGAAAAGAAATAGGCTTTTATAGGTATCAGGATGGATTCATTTTCAAGACATGGTATATACAAAGGTTAATAAAAAAATTAGTTTGCATGGATGAAAGTTTTAGGCAGTATAGGCATATATGTACATGTGTGTAAGGCTGTCAATGCTTTGTGAACATGCTACAGTATGTAAGAGCTCTGTTTTGTGCAGCTTGAGATAGTTCAGTCACTAACAATTTATTACAATAGTTTGAATATTTCCCTCTATATTTTTATTTGAAGGAAAATATAGGGAAACCTAATTTTGCTAAAAAAAACAAAACAAAACAAAACAAAACAATAAATCTCCTCAGGAGGCAGAGGCCAGCAGATCTTTGATACATCAAGGCCAGTCTGATCTATCTATTGACTTCCAGGCAAGCTGGGACTAGGAAGCACCAGTCAAAAATAAAATAAAAAATAAATAAATAAATAAATAAAACATTTATTAGACATTTATTAGAGACATTATTAGAATAACGCATGTGTCAGTTCATCTGCTCAACAGTATTAATTATTTAAGTATAATATTTCCATTTCCACACATGGTAGGATGATTCAGAAGTTCCTTGTCATCCTGTATTTTTTTCAGTGTGTGCGAGGCAGGAAAACAAGACTGCTCACTCATGGCAGTTCTGACAATGATCCACAAGAGCTTGGCCCCTGTCCTGGCTGAGGAGGAAAGAGGTTCGACAGCCCAGTGGGAGATAGGCTCATCAAAAGTTCCTTGTCATTCTTAGAAAATACCAGTACTAAATTGTTTCTCATTTTGTAAGTGATTAATGACATCAGTAATATGGACAATGGAACCATAAACACAAACACAAACAGTGCTCCAAAATCTTCTATGTAGCTCATGGTTTTATTTTTTTATTATTATTATTTTTTCTTATCATTGGGAAGTGTCATGAGAAGAAAGCTGGGTGCTGTCACTTACACCAGTAATCCTAACTCCTGGAAGACCAGGCAGAAAGAAACCCAGGAGCTCCAGGTACCTGACTACCTAGTGAACTTAAGGCCAGCCTGAGCTGAGGACTACAATCATGTCTTAATAAAACACAGAATAAAAAATAGAAAACTAAATCCTATATGCTAAGACATTAGTATTTTTTTCTTCACTCTGTAAAAAACTTGTACATGGAACCCTAGGAGATATCAGAGCACATGTGTGAATATTGACTAACAGAACTTCATGCTGAGTTTCCTACTGTTTTATGGTATTTTGAAGAACTTTGGAAAGAAGGTAAATGTACATAGTTCAATGCATGCAGGAAAAAATGGGATGACATTTTTATTGAATTAAATAGAATAATTTGAACAGAGCTTAAGACTGCTAAATTGCTACAAAATAAAATGATACACCAGTACTTACCTCATTATAGTTTCTCAAATTAATTTCCACAGGATTATTATTAGGGCAATAATGACTTACAATTACTGATGAAATAAGTTGCCTGCTATTGCCTTTTAAATTGGAACTTTCTGATATCAGTGTAAGAACTCTAACGTAGAGAAAATTTAGTGAATGGCCTATAGTTGTGTGTTTGTTAAATACCAAGTGAAGAATTGAGTAGGCATTGCACTTTTCCCTAAATCATTCAACATAAAAAGATTAAAAATGAAAGAAGAAAACATTAAAGTAATGACATATTTTGTGGAAAATAGGTTCAATGATTCTTCAGTTTTTATTTACATTTTGAAAGGAGCCATTCCACAAAAATAATAAAATTTTTGATGCTAGTTGCAACTATGTATAAAATAAAGCCTTTATTCTTGGTATAAAATGTGGAGTCAGTCAAAGCATTAAATCGTAAATCATTATGTAAATGACATTAGCTTTGAATAGAAACTGACAAGCCCTGTGCAGTTTAAGGTATTCATTTCAGACAGTTTCTCTCAATCCTTACTAATCCCCATTATGTCAAATTTGAGAATTTTAATGTAAATGAAAGTCTTGAGTCAAAGGAGAATGTTTAAGTTCTAATTAGTAATAAAATAGTAACCATATGCTTAAAAATAAAAAGGTGTTGAAACCTAGAAAATGTGTACCTGTTGAGTGAAATAAGTTTAATGATACACAGGTCACAGGATTCTTATTAAATAATATGAATTCAGGGTTTCTTTTAATTGGAAGTCCACAAGAGTCAAGAAACACATGTTGTCAAACTGATTTATAAATACATATGCTCATATTTATATACTTATATATGTGCTACCCTCAACCTTAGTCAAAGAAGCTTCTTACTGCAGTGTTAATGTTTAATGTAGAGATTCACCATTTAAAGTGCTGAGAATTAGTGATCATGAGTGTTCAGCCAAAGACGGGACATCTGTATCAACCCCACCCCTCAAGGCTCAGGGAATGTCAGGGAAGATAGGGAGAAAAGAAAATAAGCGCTGAGGATGAGGAGTGCTGTATCATACTGTCCTCTGGACATGGCATGGTTGTTCCCCACATGAACTCACAGCCTTGTGGTTACCTGCACAAGAACTGTATAATATCAAGATAGTCAAAAGTTTTAGCATTGAGATGGGGCTTTGGGAAATTCACTAGTTACTGGCAGCATAAGCTGGGTGCTGGGAGAGGGAGAGTCAGTTTTCTTTGGGCTGAGTGGCCCCTGGCCAGTTGTCATGTCTCAGTGGCTGACTCCACAAGGTTTGCTATAGAGACAGCTCTAAGAGAATAGAGAGAGATGAATGAATAGACAAATAAGTGGATAGGTAGATGGATAATAGAGAGATGATAGTTAATAGATAATGATGAAGATGACAGATGATAGATAAATAGATAAAGATAGATGATAGGTGATAGGTAGATAGATGATAGATAGATGATAGATGATAGATGATAGATAGATAGATAGATAGATAGATAGATAGATAGATAGATAGATAGACTGATGAGAAGGAATTTATGAGGCCAATTGGCTCACATGATTATAGATCCTGAGAAATCTCATATTTGACTGCAATCTAGAAAACTGAGAACTTGTAAGTCTTAGTCAATATAAATCCAATGACCTCAGACCTTTAGAAGCCTATCTGCTGGAACTACCAGTCCATGCTGCAGGTTTGAAAACCCAAACAGCCATTAGTGCTAGTTCTAGAATCCAAGAGCTAGATAACCTGGAGCTCTGAGTAACAAGGGTTCAGTATGTCCTGTTACTGAAAGAGACAAAGGGAGGGAGGAAGGGGGATTATGAGGGGAGAGAGAGAGAGAGAGAGAGAGAGAGAGAGAGAGAGAGATGCTTTTTCAGCTGTCTCACTTCTTCCAAACAGGCAATTATAAGATTGATGTTGCTTATGCACAACTGGTAAGGGAGGATTTTTTAAATATTTTATTTATTTATATATATAAGTGTACTGCCTGCATGTGTGTAAGTGCACCCATCCAGGAGGTCAGAAGAAGGTAATGGATTCCCTAGTCCCCTGGAACTGGAGTTACAGATGGTTGTTAGGTGCTATATGGGTGCTGGGATTCAAACTCTGGTCCTCTGCAAGAGCAGTCAGTGCTCTTAACTACTGAGCTGTCTCTCTAGCCCCAAGAGAGGATATTTTTACTTATAGCACTAATTCAAAAGCAAAATTTGTCTAGAGGTGTCTTCAGAGATAAACAGAATAATGGTTTACCATGTGTCTGGTTATCTCTTAATCCAGCCATGATGATAACTTGGAATGATGGAATCACAGATGGATTGTACACAATATTCTTTAATGTGCTATTTTATTTACTCAATGAATTCTGATTTGAAACTTGGTGAATATATCCTTTTATGGATAGCTTGTTTCAGAGAATCACCTAATAAGTTCCCAATGTTGAAATTAGTATTCAGTGAGGGTAGGTTACCCCGAAGTAGCACAATTGCCCTGAATTTAAAAAAAAAAAAAAAGCCACAAAGACTTATTTTTGTGATGAGGTTGTTATTACAGTCAGTGATCACTGTTTCTGAGAATAAAGACAGTAAAAGAAAAATGAAACTCTTTCCAATTGATAAATTAGCTATGAGCAAGTGAACAACTAATTTGTGTGTAGATGATACAAAAAATGAAATTGAATAAAAAGTAGATTTTAGGAGGTCTCCTGATATTGGTGATTCCACTTATGAAGAGATTTGGAATTTAGGAAAAATCCAGTGAAGTAAACTCTTAAAGCCAGGTGATGTGTATAATTTCTTGAAAGTGCACAGTTAGGGACATTGAAAATAATGGAAGTGGAACAATATGAATGGTACCTGTTGATGTAAAACCATTATTCTGATAAACTGTATATAATGACCCAGCTCCTTCCAAAAAACACAGTTGCACATCGTGTCCTATTTTCTCACCTTCCACCTGAACCTTAGAAGTTTCTTTTGTTGAATCTGCATAATGAAGAAAATGCGTAAACCGGAACACATAGGATTAGTGAGACATTATCATATTAATCTATGAGTTAGTTATCCTGTCAAAAATCATGTTCTGTATTTGCAGAAGCAAAGATTTCTTTAAAGAAATTTATCATTATTTGGTCTTGTGTGAATAGGACTTGCTGAATCATAAGAACTGAAAGGAATTCAATGCTGAGTGTGTTTAAAATTCTACTACCAAAGGATTGAATAGCGCCGGAAACAGCACTGAAGCTTCTGCAATTATCACAGAATGCTGTTCTCCTCTCTCCTTTGCATACTCCAAGTGCTTTTAACAAATCTGGTGAATGAGAATAGCTGTTTTACAAAAAATTAATGCTCTCATCTATATGAATGTTTGCACAAATTGTATTCTCAATAATCAGAACACATCTATAATACTATCATAATATAAGAAATAAATTAATTTCAAATGTTTAGTTTTATGTGTTCTACAGTCAAAAATCAGTTTTAAAATATAGATACCAGCTATGTATATCCAACTTTGAAAAAATGGGAACCTATTATGAAATGTCTCCTCAGGTGCTATACCAGAACTAATGCTAATAAGAACAGCAGAGACCAATAAATAAAACGTGTAAATTGAGTGATGGTCCTTTCCTTCCTGCCCACAATGTTTTTGTTTCCTTGAAAATATAATTCCTCAAAATCAACTTTTCTTTCCAACTGAGCTCATCTTTTACATAAATATTTGATTTTCAAAATCCTCTGCCTATAACAAAATTCCAAATTATCTACTCAACCATGAACAAAATCTGTTTGGAAAAAGTGTCATTATTTGGGTATCAAATGAACAATTTCCTCATATTTCTACCATGCAATGGATATCAAATCAAAACTTTTAAACAAACGTATCCAACAAACATTCGCTACAGAAATATGCACTCAAGAGCACTGCTTTAGAATCTAGGTAACCAAGGAAACAGGGATTGCATATTCATTAAGTACGAAGAACATACTGCATTTGTAAAAAACTAAATAAAAGCTCCTATAAGACCGGGGATCCACACTCTGAAAATTGAAATCGAATAATACAGGGTTAAGTGGATTGGTGGACTGCCTTTTGATATGATAATATTAACATGATGAGACTTCTAGCACAATCCACAATTACAGCATGCAGATACTTGAGACCTAAGCTTGAATTTAATTTATTATGCTTTCATCTATATGCCATCATAACTCTAGCAGTGCATGTGGTCTTTACAATTTTTAAATGGTTTAGAAACACAAGAGAAATACAAAAAATATTTCAGACACAAATTCCTTTAGGTGTGAAGAGGATCCTGGATATGGAAGCAAATTTCT